TTGACGAGAAGCCCGGGCGAATACCGGCAAGCGAAATTTGGTTGAAAATAGAAGGTTTTCGCGGTTTATATTATGCCGTTCATTCGCGAGCGAGGAATATCGATGAACGATCCCGATTTTGGCGATGGATCAGCGTTTCGCTTTAGAGTGAAGTTGGGACGTTTTTAGAGTTATGTGTGTTCCATTCGCTCATGAATATTAAATATCGACGTGAATCGGTTAGCAAGTATGAAATGGTGCCCGTTAGGTGCAAGATCCTTTATATTCAGCGGTAAAGTTTTCAGCTCGTATCGTAATCTTTCATTCACTGGTGAATATTAAATATCGTTTGCCGTACTAGAATTTCCTCGTTCCTCCGCCACTGTTAAACATTTAACTTATCAACGAGAAACTCAAACCGGTTCCAAGTTTCTATTATTTTACCTCGACTCGTTCGTTTGCTTAAAAAATTAGGAATCCCACTCGCGGATTAGTATTAAAAGCTGTTTCCGAATGGGAAATTCGAATCGATTCTGACCTTTAATCCTTCTGTTCCCCTTCTTTAAATTTGGTGTCGGTGAATATTAACCTTTTACACTCGGCGATTTTTTCGTTGCAGGAAAATAATAATTCGAAGACTTTGTGCCATAAAGTCGACGATATTTATAAAACGGCAAATAAGAAATCGCATGCAAATTGAGACGTAGAATTATTTTACTTCGATATTCCACGCATCGTTGGGTAATTGTAAATTTGATATATTAATTAACATTCATCTTTGAAATCTGATTAAATGGTGACTGAGAGGCGCCTTTCAAGTGCAAAGGGTTAAATATTCACAAAGGGTTAAATACTTACAAATAATCACTATACAAAAATTGGATTATTCCTGTATCACTCGCATCCCTATTAAAATATTGTATTAACCATAATCAATCCCTATTTTATTTTCTATTATTTTATTTTAATTCTTCCATCCCCATCCCCTATAAATATATATATAAATAACACATTCGAAAGGAAGGAAAAAATTCTTCGAAAATATGACATGATATTCATCTATTAAAATATTTTATTAACCGTAATGAATCTCTATTTTATTTTTTATTATTTTATTTTAATTCTTCTACCCTCATCCCCTGTAAATATATATATAAATAACACAGTCGAAAGGAAGGAAAAATTTCTTCGGAAATATGACATATGATATTCACCCGTGTCTACAGGTATATATCCAAAATCAACAAATCGCGTGTATGCACGAAAAGTAATAAATCGAGGAGCAACTCCTTGTCGGCGAGTCTAATTAAACGATTTGTCACGTACACCTGAGAGAGCTAATTTCTGCCAGAGAATTAAACACGATTACTCGTTACGAGCAAGCGACGTTCGTTTAATCCGGCCATAACTATAACGCGAGGAACAAACCCCCGCTCGTTGGGGACACGATCGTAAAATGCAAATCGGCGGACGCATCGTCGCGATTGGCCGGCCGTGTCTCGCGACGGAATACGGGACAAACAAATACCGGGTGGCGGAGATAACCTAAACGCTCGAGATACGACGTCTACTCGTGGAATATAATGGGAATATCCGGGACAGCAAAAATCCTGGAAAATACGAGTGCGTCGTTCCGATTCGTTCCGATTCGTTCCGACGAGATCGAAATGCCAGCAGCCGATGTTTAGGCGAATCGAGAATTATGACAAATGGCCACACCTGGTTTCGCGAAACATTTCGGCAACTATCCTCGAAATAGATATGATACGATAGTTAGCTCTAATGGTTGACTATACGATTTCTAATTGGAAAGTAATAATTAATAAAATAAAATAAATGGTAATTGATAGTTGATAGTGTAATAAAAATGTTAAATAATGAATGGACAACTGGAAAGTTGAAGTGAATTCTTTATTTCGACGAAATAAATATGGCAACCGATGTTTAGGCGAATTATGATAAATGGCGATACCTGGTTTCGTGAAATATTTTGGCAAATGTCCTCGAAATAGATATAGTACAATAGTTAGCTCTAATTTCTAGTTGACTATACGATTTCTAACGAAAAATAATAATTAATAGAATAAGAGAAATAGTAATTAAAAAATCGAGGAAGAATTGTGTAATAAAATTGTTAAATAATGAATGGACAAGTGGAAAGTTGAAATAAATGCTTTATTTCAACGAAATAAATATGGCAGCCGATGTTTAGGCGAATTATGACAAATCGTGATACCTGGTTTCGTGTAATATTTTGGTAACTGTCCTTGAAATACCTATAATTGTTAGCTATACAATTTCTAATAGAAAATAATAATTAAAAGAAATATTAATTAAGAAATCGAGAAAAAATAGTGTAATAAAAATATTAAATAATAAACGGACAACTGAAAAGTTGAAATAGATGTTTTATATCAATGGAATAGAAATGGCATTGAATGTTTAAGCGAATCGAGAATTATGAGAAACGGTGGCAACTATCTCTGAAATTGATATAATAATTAGCTCTAATTATTGGCTATAAAATTTCTGATAGAAAACGATAATTAATAGAATAAAAGAGATAGTAATTAAGAAATCGAGGAAGAATACTGTAATAAAAATGTTAAATAATATTTGAACAACTGGAAAGTCGAAATAAATGTTTTATCTCCATAAAATAGAAATGGCAGCCGATATTTAACCAAATCGAGAACTACGAAAAATGGCGGCAACTGGTCCCATGAAACATTTCGACAGCTATCCTTCAAACACATAGATGACTATAATTCCTGACTACAAAATTTTTAATACAAAGCGAAGATTAAGTACAGTATATTAAAAATCAAAATAACACTAAATAATTCTACAAAATTATTGGAAATGGTACCATTTCGTAATATTACGAATTAAATGGTAACTCTGTTCGTCACGAGATTATTTATAATACGTTAACCTATTAAAAAGCACAGTGGAGCTAAAGTTAATTAATAATTAAAATTGAAAATTATTTTAATCGGATCGCAAATGGAAAAGGCACATACAAAAATCCTGGAATATTCTTTATTACATATACACGCATAGAGCAATGGTGACAAGCGTATAGGTGGCAGAAATACACGAAACGCGAAATAAAAATTAGCGAACGAAACAAGTAAACGCAAAAATCGAACAAAGCGTCCGCCTGGACGGAGATTATTCCCCGTTCTCCGAAAGGGATGGAAAACGGGGAGGAAAACGGAAAGATGAGACCAAACGAACGGCGCGAGGGGAAATGGCGAAGCGCACGGTAAGAGGGATCCAGCTGATAAAGAGGAGCGTCGAACCGTCGAGATTTTAGCCTCCTCGTTTCGTTTCGCTTTTTTCTTCCTTTTAATTTATCCACCAGCGACGAAAGTACTTGCGCGAGATCGAGATAATCGGAAATCGACGGCGAAACAGTCTCTTGATTTCTTTTTTCCCCGTGTTTCTTTTTTCGATCGTCCGGAAAAGTGGAGCGCTTAACGACCAAAGGGAAAACCGTTTCTTTTTCTGCCTCTCGCGATTGTTTGCTTTCCTTCGTTGCGGGAGGAAGTTTCGAGATTTTTCGACAACCCGAGATTGGTTTTCTTTTGCTTATTTACCTACACTTTGCCGGATTTTCGCTCGGAAAATCGTCGATCGATCGCTTCCCGCGGCCTGCTTAACTCCGAGAGGAGTTCCACTTTCCGCGATTCCACGGATGCGTATCTTCAAAGCCTCCATTCGTGGAATTCTTTTGTTATCTGTGTACGTCGCGTAGATCGAATAATCGAATAATCGAAGCGATCGGTCAGATATTTTCGTTCTTGGTCTCGAAGACGAAAATTCGCACAAAAATACGGGGTACATTTCCGTTCTCTCGTTATATAATTTACTCGCAGCGCTTATTTTTATCTCTTCTTTATCGACTGTGTGACGTCGAATTCGCGGTAATGTCTTCGCGGCCAAGAATTCCGCTCGGCGAGACTTGGAGAGACTCGAGGACTCTCTCGAAGAGCTCGCTGCTTTTTCTCGTCGAATAAACACGTTCCTTGAATTTCGATAAGATTTCACAGCAGACCGAGGATCCAATCGATCCCGAATCAGGCGAAGGATATATATATCGCGTATAAAGTTGACGCGAAAATTTTGCCAATTTTTGCCGATTTTTCCATCGCCAGATTCACGGGGATCGAGGATCTCTCGATGGGAAATGGAAAAGGTGCAACTGCAGCCGGCTGCGCGTCGCTGCGATCGTTGGATCTGTTTTATACGGCTTCGAGATTTCCATTTTCCCGCGAAACGATCGATCACACGTTCGATCGGAATTTCGGGATATTAAAAACGCGGGAGAACGAGCGACGCGCAGCTGCGGTCATTTCCACGTTTGCCCGTTGATCGATGCGCGGACCACGATTTATTCAGGCCTGCGCGATTTTCCATCGCGTAAATTTCCACGAAATGAAAATTCAGAGGCCGATACGCGGAGAAATTGCATTGGCCGGTCCGATTGCGCATCCATCAGCGCGTCCTCGATCGCGAGATCCGCTCGAAATTGCCATTGTCGGTGCTTCGCCCATTCGAATCAGCGTCCATTCGCTATCTTCGCATCAATGGATCAAAGATAATGCGTATTCTTCTCCGTTCAAACTGTAAATTTCACGTACAACTTCCATGGAACGGGAATTTTTATTTCACTTCTTTCTTGAATTTTTTGGGACATCTTCCATGCACTGTCGAATATTTTAATAATCCTAAAAGAATTTTAAAATAATATTTTTCATATTCATTACGATTGCGATGATTATATTTTTTAAAGTTTTGAATTTTGTTTCGTCGTATTTTGAAATTTTTCTTCGTCCACAAGGGATGAAATGTTTTCTCGAGAAGAGGGGTGGAAGTTGTCCGTGGAATTTGGGTCTTAGATCACAGTGGACGGAGAAGAATGGCCAACGCGAGTCTCGCGATCGATAGATAAAGATAAAACTCGAGTGACGTGGTAGAATTAAGAGGTTATTGATATTCTGTTGTTTATTTGACAGGTGAACAACGCGACGGCGAGGGTGCAGACGAAAAAACCACCGACGGTACCCAACGGTAGGTCCAATTTCTTTTTCTACGAAAACCTTTCATGGTGTTTATACTTACAGTGTTTATACAATAGTGTGGGAAGTATGGGAAAGAAAAAAGAAAGGGAAAACTCTAAATTTTGCTGGTTTGAACTGAAAGAATGTATATTTTGTATAAATTAATATGGCGGCGAGACCTGTCAAGGAAATGAATTGGCGCGTTCCTAACGCCGCTAAAGAAGACAAAGATTAACTTTATTGTAGTATCGCAGGATTTTCACCTCGTGTATAGGTAACTTTAACTTGGAAAATCACCGAGGGTTCAAGGGCCCTTAGCATGACGATATTTGGTCATGTTGGGGGTGGCTTTTGGAAAACGTGTACTTGTTGGGGAAGATATAAAAGAAAGCAAAAGTGGTTAGTGGACAGTTCTTGGGAAAAGTGATTGGAAGAGAGTTCTTGAGAGACAGTTCTTCAGAGAAGTTGTTAGTTGTGTTTTAGTTGTGAGCTATTAGTTGTAACAGGTTGAGTTGTCATTGTGTTGTTGAGTTGAGTTGTAGATATAGATTCTAAAGCTTAATCGTCACCACACATTGTTAATTAATTCATTATTGTTATTCAATAATAGTCCGTATTTACCACCTACCATAGTCTCTACATTATTAATTAAAATGAAATTAAGAGTTATCGATTAGCAGAATTGTCAATAACGTTGTTGTTGAGTTGAGAGTTGTCGAAGTTAGTTGTCAGAGTTGTTGTCATTGCTAATAATTGTGAGTTGCTAACAATTGCGAGTTGTAATAGGATAGTTACTGCAGAAGTGTAGGTTGAGATAAGTTGTAATAATTCGTATCTTTATCGTAACTCACATACTCTGTCACTGTTAAATTTATTAATAAATAAATATATCTACCAACCCCAAAATTGTCTATACAATATTGTGACAGTTCTCTTTGCTCGTGTATTATCCAGCTTTTCCTCTATTTCATAGTCATTCTTTCCTCGAATTAATTGCTAATAATTGTGAGTTGCTAACAATTGTGAGTTGTAATAGGATAGTTTCTGCAGAAGTGTGGGTTGAGATAAGTTGTAATAATTCGTATCTTTATCGTAACTCACATACTCTGTCACTGTTAAATTTATTAATAAATAAATATATCTACCAACCCCAAAATTGTCTATACAATATTGTGACAGTTCTCTTTGCTTGTGTATTATCCAGCTTTTCCTCTATTTCATAGTCATTCTTTCCTCGAATTAATTGCTAATAATTGTGAGTTGCTAACAATTGTGAGTTGTAATAGGATAGTTTCTGCAGAAGTGTGGGTTGAGATAAGTTGTAATAATTCGTATCTTTATCGTAACTCACATACTCTGCCACTGTTAAATTTATTAATAAATAAATATATCTACCAACCCCAAAATTGCCTCTACAATATTGTGACAGTTCTCTTTGCTCGTGTATTATCCAGCTTTTCCTCTATTTCATAGACATTCTTTCCTCGAATTAGCAGTCGTTTATTTTTCATCGTTTATTTTTCGTACTTTGTCAAAACATCGCGGTTAAAGCAAACAAAAAAATATTCCAATTTTATTTTATTTTTATTTTGATATATTTTGCGCTGTTTGAACGAGGAGAATTCTTCGTGGTTACCTTTGTAATCTCTGGTAAAATCACTTTGGAATCGCATTCTCGTTGTTCACGCGCTTTTCCGCATTTTCACCCACGCGTTTTAAATTGTACACGATTTGGACGATAAAAGTTCGTCGCGCCTTACCCACCTAAACTCGTGGAAAAAAGGAATTACTATTAAAATCCACGTTGAAACAACGTTACATTCTCGTTGTTCTCATGCTCCTCCACTTCTATTTTCCGGCAAGGCAAATATGCGGCTTGCGCTTCGCCTGGCTCAACGTTTATTCTAACTCAATTAATTAGCACGGAAATTCAGCTCCTTCAAACGCGTGAAATTTTCATGTCGAACTACATCGAGGCACTACGGTTATTCGACTGCCTTTCTTCTCGTTTCCTCCACGAAATTTCGCCTAACGCAGAAGAAAAGGAAGAAATATAGTCTTTACGTTGAACCAGCTGTTCTTCGACGAAATTCCCACCCTTTGTCTTTAATCGAGTGAAATTTCGTAGTCCTGGAACGTCAATATCTTGAAATATTTAATATCATTTTTCGGTGTTAATCAAATTCCATTTTGCAAAGAAATTTTGATACAAGAAACCGATTTTTTGGATTTTACTTTAACTATTGAAATTTTAGAACCGTGAAACGTCAATATTTTTAAATTTGAAGTTTCGTAGTATTTATTGGTTGGACGAAATTCCCACCCTGTTTTTAATTGAGTGAAATTTCGTAGTCCTGGAACGTCAATATCTTGAAATATTTAATATTATTTTTTGGCGTTAATCAAATTCTATTTTTCAAAGAAATTTTGATAATAGAACCGATCTTTTTGATTTTACTTTGACTGTTGAAATTTTATAGTATTTATGGTATTAGTATAGTATAGCATTTATAGTTTTTATTGGTATTAATTAAATTTCCTTTCTGAACAAATTTTCCCAAAATCAGTGATACCTGATCCTTTTGACTTTTCAACCATTAAAATTTTATAGTCATTGAACATCGATATTTTTAAATTTCGTGCTTCGTACTATTTATTGGTATTTATCAAATTCCGTTTTTCAAAAAAATTCTTCTGGTATGAGGGATATGAGAACTGATATTTCTGATTTTACTTTAGCCATTAAAATTGGCAAATTGTAGAACGTCGATATTTTTGAATATGTAGTGTTATTTATATGTTATATTATATATTAATTAAATTCCGATCTGCATAAAATCAGTGGTAACTGATCTCCTTGATTTTACTGCAATAATTAAGAAACTTAATATTACATGAGAGATCGTTAACGTATTTTCACTACGAGTTCTTCTTCATCTTGTCTGTATCGTCATTTCACACACATGTACTGTACATATTATATGTCCCAAAATTCACGCTAAAAACAATTTTAATTATTTTAATTAAAAATTGTAAATATTGTTCAAAATGAAGAGACGTGTTGTTCTTCCATATAGGGCTCCATTTTTAATAACCCTGAACTGTCAGCTATCACGCCATCTTTCTTCTTTCGTTGGCAACACATTTCCGCCAAAATGGAAAATTCAAATCTTGCGTGGATTTTGGGACACCCTTTACATTGGGTAATTAACCCTTTGCATTGGAGAGGCGCCTCTCAGTTGCCATTTAATCAAATTCTAAAGATGGATGTTAATTAATATATCAAATTTGCAATTACCCAACGATGCGTGGAATATGGAAGTAAAATAATTCTACGTCTTAATTTGCATACGATTTCTTATTTACCGTTTTAGAAATAACGTCGACTTTAAAGTCTTCTAATTATTATTTTCCTGTAACGAAAAAATCGCCGAGTGCAAAGGGTTAATACCACCCTTTGTTCTTTAACCCTCTATGGCCCGAATATATATTTTTCTTGACTATAAGAATTGTATGTAATATAAAATCAACAAATATCAACCAATAAATTCAGCAGTTTTGACAATTTTATTATAACGAATTCATATTGAAAATTTGAATTAGCAATGGTTGTACTATTGTGCCAAGATAATGTGCAATAGATAGACAAGATAATTTTCCACGCTGTCTTGTGGAGAAAAGGTCATAGGGGGCTATAGAGGACCTAATCTATCATGATCGAATAACCGGTAAATGAAAAAGAATTAGAATTTTTAAAAATGGAACCACGGGAGGTATTGTAAAAATAATTATAAATATATCGAAAGGAAAATCTCGAACTGGAGTGATCAAGATGATAACGATGAATGCAGTATTTAATAAAATACCCATACATTAGCATGTAACTTGAAAGTTACACGGGCTCATAGAGTGTTAATAATCAAATAAATGGAGGACGATGAAAATTAAACAGCAGATTCTTCTCGAGAAAAATAGACGATTCTAATTCGATCTAGAGAAGATGTTCCAAGTGCTCTTCCTAGAAATTGGCTTTAATCTAAACCTAATCTCGAATCCATTCGAATCTCGACTTAATTCGGATTAGCAGAGCGGTCAGTGGAGACCTGTCTCATAGTAACTGGTCATATTCGAAGAAAATTAGCCGAAGACTGGTTTTATTCTCTGTAATAGACTCCCCTCGATGAGTTTCGTTGGCTGTTAAATAGAGAGCTCAGGTGAGGCTCGATTAATGAGAATTCCTCAAAGCCCTTGAAATCACTTGGTGTAATTGCCGAAAGAGGAATGATAGAAGAACGCCTGTTGGAGAATTTATGCGAAACGAGTATCACGCGAATTATCACTGGTCTTCGAGCTCCTTCGTCCATTTTGGAAATTTGTTGGACTCGATCGAGCTTGATGCATAGCTGAACTTTCTGCTTGCGGAGGGGATTGATTAACTGTAATGGCCGGATGTGATTGATGGAACAGGGATGTGTAATAACAGAAAATCGACGTTTCGTTGAGTAATGATATTCGGAGAAGAGTGTCGAAAGACGAAAATGGCGGTGGTTATAAATACTCGGGAGGGAATTTATTTTCGATGTCTCGATGCCGATATCTCGCGGAAATTAAGATAAAACCGATCGACTGGGCATTATTTTTGGACTGTACAAGTGAGAAATTTATTTACAGTATCGCGTTAACGGTGTGCTAAATAATTTAAGATAAATTTGAATACATGAGAAATATTTTTAAACCGAACAGACGATGATAAATTTATTTTCAATATCGCGATAACGATACTTAGAAATATTGAAATGAAGTTGGATAAACGAAGAATATTTTTAAACTCCTTAATTTAGTTACTATAGCGCGATTAGTAATATCTCGAATAAATTAAGATAAAATTGAACTCGAAATTTATTTCGAATATCGCGCCAATAACATATGGAGAAGATAAGTATAAAATTGTAGAATAAAAATACGGTGTATTAAATAATTTAAGATAAATTTGGATGAATGAGAAATATT